TAACGATTTTAATATATTTTTTCAAGGTTTGTTTCTTACAAATTTAGTAGGTAAATTTTAAAAAAAATAATTTCTTCTTGCTTAATCACTTTAATTGATTACTTTTTTTTTTCAAGTTCAAAAGAAAATTTTTCACTTAAATTACAGTTATTTTTAATGTTCAAAATGTTTGAAAAAAAAAGTAATCAATTAAAATGATAAAGATGATTTTATTAATTTTTGTTTCATTTTTCTTTTTCATGCTTTCTCATAAATATTTAAAACACTACCAGCATTCTGTGCTCTGTTTTTTTATTTTTTATTTATTTTTATTTTTTTTTGTGAATATGAATTAGAAAAGAAAAAAAAATTCATGAATGTTTAAAATTTTTTTGTAAAAAAAAAAAAAAAAAAAATCCAAAGAACAGAACACTCCTGTCGTTTATGTGCAACAATAGCGAAAAGAAATAATATCCTACCGCTTTTTACTGTTTACCATGTGAAGAATCTTTCCACCCTTCTTCCATCCCTAAAAACTGAACAAAACTTTTCATTCGAAACAAATACATCCTTCTGACACCGGAAAATAATACGGGAATCTGTTTCTCTACAAATGAAAAACTAAAAACAAAAAAAGGAAAGCGGTAGATCGGGCATATTTTATCTTTTTTTTTTTTTTCGAGAGAACCTGGAGACACATTCGGAAGGAATGTATAATTTATTTTCACAGAACTTCCGACCGTAGCACAAGAAGATCATGAATTTACCAAGATACACATAAAAATTTACTCCTGGTAGCGAATGAATGATCGTTGTTTCTCCTTGATTTAATTCTGTCCTGTTCTTTAAAAGTGTGACAGAGAAGGGTTGTTTTGATTGCAAATCGGCTGATGGAGTTTCTGTACAAAGTGTTTCGACACTGTTGATACTTTTAAACAGTAACATTTTTGTACTTTTGTACTTTTTACAGTTAGCATACCTTTTTTTCTGAAGCAAGCCAGATAAAAAATAAATTTATTTATAAAATGACATAATGTTTTGAATTTTTTAATTAATTGATTATACTTGGACTTTTATTACTATAAAAAATTCAAAAATATTTAAATGTAAATACGTAAATAAATACAAAACAATTGTATAGTTTACTTACTAAATTTGTAAAAATGTCTTCTAATAATATACTAAAAATCTAAAAATTTCTGCCACTCTGTAGACAAGGTAGTCCATATAGTATTTTTAACTTTTTTTTTTTTTTTAAATGTTTGTAAAAACATTTAATCAATTTAAGTGATAAAGGATGAATAAATCAATTTTATTAAATGTACTGACTAAATTTGTATGAAAAAATTCCTTTGAAAAATATACTAACATACTTACAATTTTTGACACTATCTACAATATCATTTATGTACAATAATCATCTACAATAACCTTAACGTTTTTTAATATGTTTTTCAAAGTATTTTTCTTACAAAGTAAGTACATTTAAAAAATAATTTATTCGTGCTTAATCACTTTAATTGATTACTTTTGTTTTTCAAGTTCAAAATAAAATTCTTTCTCTTAAATTATATATTTTTAATTTTCAAAATGTTTAGAAAAAAAAGTAATCAATTAAAGTAATAAAAATATCATTATATTAATTTTTGTTTTATTTTTCTTTCTTGTTTTCTGCTAAAGCATTTAAAACACTACCCGCAAAATCTGTGTTCTCCTTTTTCCTGAATATGAATTCGAAAAAAAAACAAACTTCGTGAATGCTTAAAATTGTGTTGTCGTTTATGTGCAACAATAGCGAAAAAGAAAATAGTATCATTCCGCTTTACTGTTTACCATGTGAAGAGTCATTCCACCCTTCTTCCAATCTGCAAAACCAAACAAAACTTTTTCGTTCGAAACAAATATATATCTGACACCAAAAAAATAACGCGGGAATCTGTTTCTCTACAACTTACAAAGTAAATACAAACAAAGAAAGATTTACAGCGGCCATATTTATTTTTCCACTTTTTTTTTTTTTTTATTCAGAGAATTCTAAAAACACATCCGGAAGGAAAGTATAATTTATTTTCCACAGCCCAACCGACCGTAGCACTTTACCATGGCACAAACACAAAAATTTACTCCTGGTAGTGAGTGAATGATCGTTGTTTCTCCTGCTTTAATTCCGTCCTCTTCTCTAAAAGTGCTACAGGGAAGGGTTGTTTTGACTACAAATCGACTTATGGTGTTTTCTGTATAAAGTGTTTTGACACTGTTAATACATTTGAAACCTTCAATTTTTGTACTTTGTATTGTTTTACTGTTGCCATAATTTTTTTTTCTGAATGAAGCCAGATGAAACAAATATTAAATGTGATATTATTACATAACATAATTTATACATAAATTAAGTGTTATAAAGTTAATTGAAATGCTGTTGTTCTATTGTATCTAGCAATACAAAGACAGTTAATCTTTATTCAGAAGGCAAGGGCTGCAAAACCGCTGTTTTCTCATTTAGTACTACGGGGGGGCGTGTAGCTTGAAGATATGCTAAGGACGCGAATAACAATAGTTTTTAGTATATTTTTCAAAGGATTTTTTTCCTTACAAATTTAGTAGGTGCATTTAACAAAAGTTTTCATGCTTTATAACGTTAATTAATATCAGTTTTTACAAACATTTTGAAAACTTTAAAAAATGCATTTCAAGTGAAAAGAATTTTTCTTTTGAACTTGAAACATAATGGTTGTGAAATGTTGAAAGTTTTTTAGTATATTTCTCGTAAGATACTTTCGTTACAAATTTTGTAAGTGCATTTAAGAAAAATTAATTTTTCATGCCTTACCACTTTAATTGATTACTTTTTTTTTCTCATTCAAACAAAATTCTTTCTATTTAAATTATATTTCTTTAATTTTTCAAGATGTGTTTAAAAAAGTAATCAATTAAAGTGATAATAAATGATTATACTAAATTTATTTAATTTTTCTTTCGTGAGTTCTCCTAAATATTTGAAACACTACCAACAATGACTGTGAACTCCTTTTTTGTGAATATGAATTCGAAAAAAAAAATTCATGAATGTTTAAAATTTTCATAAAAAAATCCAAACAACAGAAGATACTTGTCGTTTATGTGCAACAATAGCGAAAAGAAATAATCTCCTTCCGCTGTACTGTTTACCATGTGAAGAGTGATTCCACCCTTCTTCCAATCCTGAAAACTAAACAAAACTTTTTCATTCGAAACAAATCTATTTCCTTCTGACACTGGAAAATAACGCGGGTATCTGTTTCTCTGCAAATGAAAAAGTAAATACAAACAAAGAAAGAGGTACAGAGGCCATATTTTATCCAACTTTTTTTTATCCAAGAGAATTCTAAGACACATCCGGAAGGAATGTATAATTTATTTTGCACAGCACTTCCGTTCATAGCACTAGAAGATACTGACTCTACCATGGCACAAACATAAAAATTTACTCCTGGTAGTGAATGAATGATCGTTGTTTCTCCCTGCTTTAATTTCGTCCTCTTCTCTAAAAAGTGCGACAGGGAAGGGTTGTTTTGACTGCAAATCGGCTTATGGAGTTTCTGTATAAAGTGTTTTGACACTGTTGATACATTTCAAACATTCCCATTTTTTTTTTTTTAATTTTTACTTTTTTATTGTTACCGTCAATTTTTCTGAAGTAAGCCATATAAAAACATGAATAACTGTGATATAATTACTTAATGCAATTTATGCATCAATTAAGTTTGATAAAGACAATTGAAATGTTATTGTTCTATTACAGCTGGAAATGCAGGGACAGTTAATCTTTATGCGATAAGGCAAGGGCTGCACAGCTGTTTCTCACGTCAGTACTACCCAGGTGGTAGTTATAGCTAGAAGATGTGCTAACGACGCGAGTAACACTTTTTATAGTATAATTATGAAAGTAGTTTTTCAAAAATTAGTAAGTAATTTAAACATTTATTTTGTATTACGTTACGTACTTACAATGAAATATTTCGAATTTTTAAAGTATTAAAATGTATATACAAATATAATAACATAAAAATTTCGAAAAACAAAACAAAATTTATATCATTATCCTTTATCATTTTAATTGATTACTATTTTTACAAAAAATTTGAAAATTAAAAAAATACAATTTAAGTGCCAAAAATTTTCTGCTGAACTTGAAATACAAGTAATCAATTTAATTGGTAAAGTTTGAAGTAATTAATTTTTTTAATTGTACTCACTAAATTTGTAAGGAAAAATCTTTTGAAAAATATACAGAAAAAACCTTACAATTTTTGACACCATGTACAATAAATAACCTTTATGTTTAATGTTCAAAGGAAAATTCTTTCAACCTAAATTGAACTTTTTTTTTATTTTTAAAATGTTTGTAAAATATGTAATCAATTAAATTGATAAAGGAGGATTAGATTAATTTAACTTTTTTTCATGATTTCTCTTAAATATTTAAAGCACTACCCTCAAAAGATTGAATATGAATTTGGAAAAAAAAAAAAAATCATGAATGCTTAAATTTTTTGTCGAAAAAAAACCCCAAATAAGAGAAGATACTTGTCGTTTATGTGCAACAATAGCGAAAAAAATAATATCCTTCCGCTTTATTGTTTACCATGTGAAGATTAATTCCACCCTTCTTCCATCCATAAAAACTGAATAAAACTTTTTCATTCGAAACAAATATATATCCTTCTGACACCGGAAGTTTGAATCTGTTGTTTGTTTTGTTGTTTCTTATCCCACTTGGCTGTCAAGCCCACGAGCACATACGTACTCATGATTGAAGAGGAAGGAAGCAGCTCCTGCTGCGATGGAGCACCCGTAGGTAGAATTCTGACTTTGGCTTCGTGACGCTCTTACAGTCGTAGGAGACCGGGACCTACAGTTTAAAGTGGATTCGAACCACTACAAACATCCATGGCACCGCCGGGATTCGAACCCGAAACCTGTGGCACCGAGCGCCAGAGCGCTAAATACTCGGCCATTCAGATCCCAAATTTGTGAATGCCAACGGCACGCGGTGTTCCCAGGTGGTCACCCGCCCAATGATGCTTGACTTCGGTGATCTAACGAGAACCGGTATATTCAGCATGGTATCGTCGTTGGCATCTGTTTCTCGACAAATGAAAAAGTAAACACAAATAAAGAGAGAGGTAGAACGGGCATATTTTCCTTTTTCTCTTTTTTTTTATCCGAGAGATTTCTAAGACCCATCCGGAAGGAATGTATTATTTATTTTGCACAACACTTCCGCCCATAGCACTAGAGTATCCTGACTTTACATGACATAAACATAAAAATTTACTCCTGGTAGTGAATGAACGACCGGTGTTTTTCCTTGCTTTAATTCTGCCCTGTTCTCTAAAAATGAGACAGAGAACGGTTGTTTTGACAGAAAATCGGCTGATGGAGTTTCTGTATAAAGTGCTTTTGACATTGTTGATACACTTTGAACATTCAAATTTTTGTATTTTGTGCTTTTATACTGTTACCTTAACTTTTTCTGAAGGAAGCCATATAAAGAGCATGAATAACTGTGATATAATTACTTAATGCAATTTATGCATCAATTAAGTTTTATAAAGACAACTGAAATGCATATGCTGTTTTTATGTAAAAGAAAATGTTCAACTTTTTCAATTTCAAAAATGCGCATTTTTTTTTTCAATTATAATAAAAAATTATTCAATTTTATTTTTCAATTATAATTCAAATATATTCAATTTTTTCAATATTCAAATCTTCCTTCGATTCCGATTCAATTCAATTCAATTAATTTTTAACAATAAATAGACTATTCCTACCTTTAATTTATAAATAGACTATTCCTATCTTTATTTTAGAAATAGACTACCTTGATTGTACACATATTTATTTATAGAGCAATTAATGCTCTGGTAAATCAGTTCCTTTTTGTAATTTGTACTTTTTTATTGTTACCATAATTTTTTTCCGAAGGAAGCCCGATAAAAAAATTAATAAATGTGATATGATTGCATAAGTACATTTATACATCAATTAAGTTTTATAAAGACAATTGAAATGTATATGCTATTTTTATATAAAAGAATGGGGTTTTTTTTTCAATTTCAAAAGTATTCAATTTTTTTTTCAACTATAATTAAAAAAAATATTCATTTTTTCAATATTCAATTCTTCTTTCAATTCAATTAACTTTTTTTTATCAGTTAACAGACTTTCCCTACCTTTTATTTACACATATTTATATATAAAGCAATTAATGTTCTGATAAATCAGAGCTGTCTGAACTCCGTTAATTAAACATCTGTTAAAGCTCAGTTCATTTTTAAATTTTTTTAATTCTTTGAGAGATTAATTTGACTAATTAAATGTATCCAAACTTTGTTTAATTCAATTAATTTTGAATATCTTTTATCAGTAAATAAATTTTTCTACTCGATATTTATTCATGGAAGAATAAACCTTTTTATGAATTAGAGCTTAATTTGTTATACCTCTGCACAAGTTTATATTTGCTTTAACAGAAAATTTTAAAAAGCATATTTGGTAAAATATTCTGCTTTAAAATTATCTTTCATAATTAAGACATCTCAAATTAAATACATATTCTTGCACATTGACATATAGATTTATTGTTTCACAAACACATTAATAATATTTAAAGAAAAAGATTTTAAATGTTTATCTTGTTCAAGATTTTTTCAATTAACATCAACAACAGGCTGCAAACATCATTCCAGACGGTGGCATGAATTTTTGTTAGTGGTTCAATGAACTTAGAGGGACAAATAAAACCAAACTAATCATGTTACATCAACACGTAGTAAATTGAAAATGACAGAATTTTGAAAGACTCAGAAGTATTTTTCCTCATATAAGATCTTTAAGAAATGCGAAAAAGAAATTTTCGACTCCTACTTACAAAACTCATATAACAAATTTTCTCCATGATCTCTAGAATAACTTTGATCTCTATCTTCATGTAACTTTGAACAAATTTGATCTCTATTTTTGCATTAAAATCATTGAATGACTTTGAACTTTATATTTTCATAGAAATCTTTCCATATCTTTCCATAAATATTTTTTCTGTAGAAAATATGCATAGTTTAATCAGCCAGTAAAGAACGAAAGATATTTAGAGAAGTTTAATAATAATAAATAATAATAATAATAAATAACAATAATAATAAATAATAATAATAAATAAATAATAATAATAATAAATAATAATAATAATAAATAATAATAATAATAATAATAATAAATAATGATAATTTAATAAAATTGAGACAAATTTGAATGATCATTCAAGTTCTGGTATGAAATAAAATTGGTTTACAAATAGTTATTTATTAAAAATTACAGAAAAAGAAATATTTTTCCCATTCTCTAGATCAGGGGTCTCCAAACTTTCCAGCCTTAAGGTCATACTGTTTAATCCAGTAAGTACCAAGGACCAAAACCTTTTTAATTTTTCTGCCATTTATATAATTTCTAGACCAGTCGCTGAGTAGGCGCTCTGAGCGAGCATACGCTTGCTGACTACAAACTATTGACAGTGAAAAATCACAATTACATAAATCTCATTAGTATTTTTTTTTGCAAGCGGATCCCCGCTGTTTCATTCGCGTTAATTTAGCTTTTCCGTATTTTTCAGGATAAAATTCATATATTTGATTCAGGATATATACATTCCAAACATCGATATACATACATATGCGACACTCTTTACCCCAACATAACTACCGAGGGTACCCGCGGGATGTTCACTAGTTTAAAATGTCAGTGGGATTCATTTCAATTATTTGTTAGTTGTTATGCTTAAATTAAATTTTCTGCGTATTATGCTTGCCATTAAGCTTTACCTACAAGTCAATAAAACCGAGTTATTATCATTCTGTGTTTTTTTATCCAACAAGTTAAAAAAACAATATAGTCCAACTTAAATTACAGCAACAATAAATTATTCGTTGTCGCGGGCCGGATGCATGACACTGGCACAAATGAGATTTGGCCCGTGGGCCGTAGTTTGGTGACCCCTGCTCTAGATCAACATGATCTCGCATTTACAGAGATTTTTGTCTTTATGTTAAACTCAAACGGATTCTTTTGTTCAATTCATAAGAAGAAGGCATATTTTCTTAGATAGAAAAAAAGTATTTTTCTATTCCTCTTGATGTTTATTAAATCTTTTTAAGTAAAATAATTATAAAATATTTTAGACGTTAGATATCTAACAATACATTTATTTCGAATTTTAAAATTTTTTTTAGCAATTTGTTCTCCTTAATCTTATGAATAAACCAACAGTATGATTCTGGGAAAAAATGAGAAACAGCATATAAAAGGTTACTTTTCATTAAATTTTTAATAAAAACTACTTGCAAACCATTTTTATTTTATATCAGTATTTGAGTGATCTTTTAAAGTTACCTCATTTTTGATCTAAACTCCTGCAAAGAACTTCTCTCTGTACAAACAGACCAAAATATTGTATAAACATACAAGTTATTTCCTATGTAATTAACTACAATAGCTCCATTGAATTTCAGTAAAAAGGATCTTGGATAAAAAAAAATTCTTTAATTCTTACAATAAGTTATTATCTGCACATTAAAAAAAAGCAATTTACTGAAAATACGGTATTTTTCTACATCGTGAAAGATTTTGTTTGAAAGCCTTTATTATATTTTAATGTGACCCCGATCCTTATCAGTTGAAAATATCCAATTTCAGCAAGAACTAATTAAAAGAAATAATTTTCAGTCAAAAATATTATAGAATTGAAAAAATTATGACATTATTAGCTAAATTTAACATCAAAAATTTAATTAATATGAAAAACTAAATTAAGTATTTAACAACTGTAAACTCAGATCGATAAATAAATAAAAGAATCCCAGACAGTTATCGAATAAAAGTTCTTAAAAGGGAAAAAAAAATTTAATTTGTACCAAAGAGCTGGTGAATAGCTTACCGAATTTGGAAAGCTTAGCTCTAAATCCTGCAACTAAGCATAATATGAATCTCACGTGTCTGTGTCAATAATAGACAATGCTAAATCTGTAAACTTCCTTCCGTTAAGCTTGAAAAGCTGGGAAAATTTCAAAAACAACTTTCTCTTCCAGGGGCCTGAATGGTCATGCCCGTACCACAGGCATGAATGAAATGGATGGAAAATTTCCAAATACTTTAAACCGTTTCTCTTCCAAGCTGAACTTTGTGAGATTAAAGAATTTTGGAAACTTGAAATATTGCAATATCAATTTGAAAGTCTAGAAGAAAAAATTTTCTCTTCCAAGCTAAACTTTGTGAGATTAAAGAATTTTCGGAAACAGTGCAATATCAATTTGTCCGCCTCAATACCAAAACTCCTCATCTAATAGCCAAAATATCCAGCATAAGCTTTTAAGCAATGACTCCATCCAATAGTTTTGATTAAAAGGGCTCAGGCTATTATGACAATGAGAAACAGATATCCTTGCTATAGCAAGAGGTATGGATGGTTCCCAACTTTCCTTCATACCTTCTTGGCATTTTAAATCTCAAAAATATCTTAAATAATTGTCCATTAAAGGATTGGCAACAAGACTGTAATCATACCTTTTGAGGGAGAACATTTTCCAAATCATTCTAGTGTCTCAGAAAATAGTAGAAATCTTACAAGCAAAAATTAATAATGCAAGTGGCTATGGTCCATTCCCAACATACTTCAAATTTGTAACCTTTTTTGAGGTGATTTCAGCTTCTGTATAAAAACTGGAAAACCCTTCCTATATGCATCATTTTCAAAGTTTTTTAAAATTCATTCTTCGGCAATTTTGGCAATGCCATGGTAAAGAAGTTTCTTTTAATATAGGGGGAAATAAATCAAGTTAAAAACTCATAAGTGGATCGAAAATCATCAATTTAATAAACCTTATAGAAGGAAACAAACAATTAATCATTCCCAGGAACTATTATACCAGGAAAAAAACAAATGGATTTATCTATGCCCATTCTTTCCTATCAATAATCTGTTGTTTTATTTCATACTCAGATTGAAAGCTGCCATAATATTTTATATACCATGCCTGACCATATTTTCAAATCTTTATAATTATCATTTATTCCATTTT